CCGGGTACGTGCCTCCATTGCGCATTAGGGATTCGGGAATTGATCTCAGATACGCGGTTCGCGACAAAAGTCTTCCACTTCGTGGGATGACTGCTCAACCAGGCAAGTACAACAGAGGAATCTGACCAACAGAAAATAGGGATATTAGGAAGTTGCATCTCAGTTTGCGTGAATTGAACAAGTCGAGCCAGTAACACAGCTGCACATAATTCTAATCTCGGGATACTCTGCACCTTGAGTGGCGCAACTTTGGTCTTTGCGATTAGAAGAGCGACTCGAACTGTACCGTCGAGCGATTCGACTCGTAAATAGATGGCTGCGGCATATGCTGCGTTGGAAGCATCCGCGAAGCCGTGAAGTTGATATTGCTGTGGCTCGTTACTCTGTCCGGTCCATCGTGGGATCTCGATTTTACGCAGCAGTAATAATTGACTCTGGTAAGACAGGCACCGTTCTGCCAAGTCATCTGGAAGAGGCTCGTCCCATTTGAGCTTTCTAATCCAGAAGATTTGGAGTAAAATTTTCGCGTTAATTGAAAAGGGAGACGCCCATCCAAGCGGGTCGAACATACGTGATACTAAAGAAAGAAACAATCGTTTAGTAAAATTTGAATATCCATTGATGTCAATATAGAAGCGAAAAGAGTCCGTTCTCGGATTCCACGCGGTGCCAAGTACTTTCAAGTGTTCATCGATTTGGAGAGATTTATCGGTAGCGAGTCCATGATTTTCCGTGGGAATATCGGACAGCAGGGCCATGGAGTTGCTAGCCCATTTTCGTAAGTTGAATCCGCCCGCCTTGAGGAGGCGAGTCAACTGACTTTGAATCTGTTTAGCTAGTACGATATCAGTGGCACCAAACATAATATCGTCCACATATGTGCAGTTCTCTAAGACAGGGGCTGCGAGAGGATACGCATCACCGTCATCTTTGGCAAGTTGTTTGAGTACCCTATTCGCTAAAAACGGAGCGCAAGCCGTACCATAAGTAACCGTTAAAAGTCTGAACGACGAGAGCTCATCGCATGGCGTTGATCTCCAAAGAATTCGTTGATAATCGGTATCTGCAGGATGAATCAATATTTGGCGAAACATTTTTTCTATGTCCGCCGTATACACGTAAGGATGGGCGCGCCATCGTAAAATTAACGAGACAAGATCGGCCTGCAGCTTGGGACCTACATGCAAGAAATCATTTAATGATGAGCCATTAGATGTAGCACACGAAGCATTAAAAACTACTCGGAGTTTCGTGGTCTGGCTGCACTCCCGAATCACAGGGTGATGAGGGAAATATACGACTTGCGTTGAATGTTCGCAAGCTCTGTCGTCATGCAGTTTCTCCATATGGTGGAGGTTTTCGTATTCGTCCATAAATTCGCGATATTGTTTCAAGATTTCAGGTTGTTGTTGCAGTTTAGATTCATTACGCGAAAATATACGTTCAGCGATGTGTTTAGACTCGCCTATAGGGATCGGTGCTTCTGTTTTGAATGGCAATCGAACTATGTATCTACCGTCCGATCGTCTACCAACGGTTTTTTGAAAAAAGGTCTCGCATGCGGCTTCCTCTTCAGTGAGCATACTTGTTGCGGGAACCTCTTCGATTTCCCAAAATTTACGAAGTAATTCTTCGACAGATTCGTCCGAGGTTTGTAAATGTGCAACCAGAGGATTTGTACTGATTTCCGAAGATCGGCCTATCGAGCCTGACACAATCCAACCAAAGATCGTGAGCTGTGCAGTTGGTGACCCTTTGGGTCCTTGTAGAACTCCGTTCATAAGGATGCGTCCATATAAATCCGCTCCAATGAGAAGTTCTATGGGAAGGGAGTTTGAAGGCTCAGGATCAGCCAACTTTAACTTAGCTAAATGTGGCCAGGAGCATTTGATAAAACTGAGTTTAGGCATATAAGAGGTGAGCTTGGGAAGGACAAGCGCTGAGATTGCGATACCCGGTTTTACTTGGTCACAAGGTGCTAAAGTGACTGAGACGGCTCCCCGTACTTTTCCTATCGAAGCTCCGCCGATACCCGACACTGATATTGACAACTGTTTACGTCTTGCTTTTAAATATTGCGCTACGGATTCGGAGACAAATGTAGATTGAGACCCTTGGTCTAATAACGCTCTGACTTTAATTGAACGACCGGAGTCCGACTTGAGCAAAACATACGCAGTCGGTAGCAGAGTGGTATTTACTTCCTTGGGTTCCTTGGTTTCTTCGTATTTTGAAAAATGCGAATTTGTGTCTGCTTCAGCTTCCGAACTGTTGGAATTGTTGTGCTCAAGCGGCTCATCATTATTAGTTCTCGTTGCCTGCGTATTCTCCTTATGGAGCAGAGTATGATGTTTGCCCTTGCAGACCTTACAAACATGTTTGCTATAGCAAGAAGACGGAAAATGTCCGCCGTTTAAGCAGTTGAAGCACCGCTTGTGCATTTTCAGAAATTCATAACGCTGCTCGATAGATTTATCTTTAAACGATTTACATTGATAAAGAAAATGATTCTCGTTGCATAAAATGCATTTATGCGTTTCGGTGTTAGACTGATGCGAATTTACTAGTTTGGGTTTGGTTTGTTTGGTTTTCATTTGTGCATTAGAACCTGTTTCATTCGATGAGACGGCTTCTAATGCGCGAATACGTGCACTGAGAAACGAATCCAAGTCTTTGAATGTCGGATTATCATTCTGATCTCCAAGCTTAAATTCCCACTCCTTTCTGGAAGTTTTGTCAAGTTTTTGAACAAGAATAAATACTATCAAATCATCCCAGTGTTCGACTGGACGTTTAAGATTCTTCAAGGCAGTCAATGCGTCATTTGTTTTGTCGCGCAAGCTACGAAGTTCTTTCACAGAGCTGGAATTCAAGCAAGGTAAATCAACGAAACTTTGTAAGTGAGCATTGATAATGATACGCGGATTATCGTATCGATTTTTTAGTAGCTCCCAAGCGGAGTTGTAATTGGCTTCCGTGACACTAACATTTTTTAGGACTAGTTTAGCATCGTCTATTAAACTAGCCTTTAAGTAATGTAATCGTTGAACGTTACTTAGATTATCATTATTTACAACGAGTGACTCGAATATATCTTTGAAGTTTTCCCAGTCCGTGTAGTCGCCGGAAAATTTAGGCAACACAATGCGAGGTAACTGTATTGCAAAATGCGGTTGCTCCGATACCGAAGCCTCGGCAGAGCCATTATTAGTGGGAAGAGATTTTGTAAACTTATCTATCCAAGAGGCTAAGTAGTCGCTCGTGTTGATATAGCTGTCCTCTGCACGAAGAAACATTTGGTTGACGAAGTACTCATGGCTGTTACGTTCCTCCTTGGTAGCGGTCGTTTCGATCTTCGCATTCAACCGTTGACAGTCCTTCCAGTAGTCCTGTAGAATGGCCATGCGATTTTTCAACATCGCCGGAGTATAGTTGTTCTTCCCGAGTTTCTTCACATTGTCGAGGACGCGCGTTATCGAGCCGATAACGCTTCTTTGTGCATTCCACGGCTCCTCCATCTTACGTGGATTGTATTGGTAGATAGGTACTAGTTTTATGGCCGCGCACTGCTGGAACTTTTGTTTTGCGCACCGCGGTATGTTCACTGTCGGTTTTCGGTTCGATATAAACGAAATTTGAATTTCGAAGGTCGCACCTTATAGATTTGGCATACGACACAGTTTCTTTTCTAACTAACTCGTTGGGTATAGGTAATCGCGATGTTGTGAGTCTCACCCGGATTGTTGATAGTTTTTGTGTGAGTTCTTATGCTTCTTCACTACCGAGCGCGTTTGAAATACTGTTCGTTATAACGTTAAATTTAACGTTGAACTGCGTTTTTCGAAGCTCATGCCCTGATATCCGGCTCGAAGGACCATTAAATTTGTTCGAAAAGGATATCGAGTATTGGTATTACTAGTGCTGAAAGCTGGATGCGGATTCAGGACGGTTGGGGGAACGCTCATGAGCCGTAATTGATAAAGCAGTTTTGCACTTTTG